TGTGTGTGTGTGTGTGTGTGTGTGTGTGTGTTCGTGTGTAGCTGTGTCCAGCGTCATCTCTCTCTTTCTCTCTGACCTCATTCTGCAGGTTTTTCTCCAGAGCTGCAGGATCCAGATCTGACACTACTACTTAAAAATGATCATTATTAAAAGCCTCTTATCAATAACTGCATTATTATTGTCGTTGTAGCTGTTATGAACTGGTGCTGCCAGATTAGATTATTGCATCTTTAAGTTGTCTGACAGTGCTAAGATACAACCGTTATTCAACTATGGTCTCTTTCGCTGCGTCCCCGCCCTGAGCCTGGTTCTGTTGGAGATTTCCTCCGTTCTAAAGCATGTTGTTTTCTCTCCACGGTCGCATTGTTCTTCTTTATTGTGGGAATCTGGAAATATACATATAAAACTGAATTGAATTGAACATGAAAATGTGTTATAAACATGCTAATAGCGATAAAATACTGGTCTGTGTTTCTGCACAGACTGTAGAGAAAGAATTCTCTTTTGAATTTGACCAGATTTATCTCAGATTTGTCCGGAAATCTTCTCTGCGCACTGAGAGACAAAAGTGCAAAATGCTTAACTGTGTGTGTGTAGCTACAAACACTCTGCAGGTTCGACTGTATGCAGCTGTCTCGGGCTGTGTCAATAACTGTCAGTTGTCACTGTCAATAATTAATGACACAATTAGCTCTTGAGCCGTCTGACACACTCTCCCACTGTCGAATGCTTTGCTGGCAGCTTCCTCCCACCGACTGAGCTGAACACTTATTGATTTTCTGCCTCATCATGCTGAGTCATGTCCCGGCCGTGTGGGAAGAAACCCACCCTGGATTTTTACTGTGTCTGCTGATGTGTTGCTCTTTCTCTGTTTGGTTGCATTTAACTGCAAGTTGTCACACACTGTCATGACAGATGCAAACCTCAGGGGAGAACCATGAACTTTCCTCTAGTTGGATGCTGCACAACAGTGGTGGAAGTAGGAAATATTAAAATGAAAGTGGAGTAGAGGTACAATATAGATTAGAATATATGTTATTTTATTAAATTTGTGTTAAAGTATGTTGGGGTTTAATTTGATTTAATTTTCATATCGTGAAAGATTAACATGTTACATATGGTTGACACATGAGCTCACAGTGTCGACCTCTTCAGGCTTCACAGCCCAATAAACCAAGTGGAGGAGAGCAAAGAGAAAGAAAAGAGGAGAGTGAAGGAGATATAACTTTCATGAGTTTCTCTTGTTATCAGTTTAATTCCAGAGGAAGTGAAGAAAACCCCCAGACTGAAATGACACCTTCTCTCCTTTCCTCTGCTCTCGTTCCTTCATCCTCTCTCTCGGAGGATAGCGATCATAACCACGAGGCTCATGTGTTGTGGTCGTTGTGTTTATCAGCTCTGGATGTTTCTTGTGTTACTGTGTCTCAGAGCCGCCTGGAGACATAGGGGGAAGCCGTGAGACCGGATCTGGCATCGTTTGCTCTGATAAGTGGAGACTGCAGGTGCTCAGGAGATGTTTCATTCAGTTTTTTATTCTCCTAAGTCGAACTGGTTCTCCCATCGATTGTCTGTAAAGTTAACTCCAGTTGCTCTGGTTACTGTTTTCTCGTGAGGGCTGAAATTTCCATTCATTTTGGAGTTAGGAAACCAATGTTAATAGTTTTATTCACACAACCCATCATAATACAAACTGCTGTATTCATGCATTTTACAAGTATTCAATCAGCCATGTAGATATGTGGACCTCTGCCTCTATTGTCTGTTATAATAAACCTTATCACAGCAGTGCACCCAGTAACTGTTCTGCTAATTCACTGTTGGTTTATGTGAGATAACTCACAAACACACTGCACTTCGATATGTGAGACATCCAGTGCAACACATGTTGTTTCATATGTCACATCATTCTCTACTTTAGGATAAAAGGACGCTGTTTAAAGCAAGTTCATGCAGTTTTATAAGGAAAGAAAAAGAAAGGGGGTTAACCAGAGAAATAAAAAATAAGAAGCAGTGGATGAGAGTGAAATGTTAAATGGATTTGCCAAGCGGTTTCCTGTGTGTGTTGCTGTACATTTTTCCAACAACCACCTCCGTAATCAATCAAGACTCAGTGTGTACATAGACGTGTTATTTGATTGTTGTATCGAGCACTTGAATGCACAGGGCTCTCCTCGCACAGTTGTCTCAGTGACTGTTGAATTCGTCAGGTGGTGGTGTGGCGTCCTTCCTCCTGACTCACAGGCTGCTCTTCGGAACTTCTCTTATTTCTGACCACAAATCCAACGTCTTGACTTCTGTGGCCTGTGCAGCATATTCAGCAAACTCTGCAAAACTCATAGTTTATAACCAAAAACTGTGTATTGAGGGAGTATTTTATATTGCACTGCAAACACACTCTACGTGTTAGAGCCAAAAACATTGCTAAAGACTGTTCTCACCCTGGTCACCACCTGTTTGACCCTCTGCCCTCCGGGAGGCGCTCCAGGTATTTAAAAACTCAGACCCCCACACTCCTGAACAGTTTTTTAAAGGCTGTTCACACTCCCAATCAAAAAATATGATTCCCTTATCAAAGACATACTGAAACTATTAGAATATTTGTTGTAGCCTGCACCTGTCTGACAAAGTGATGCTTTTAAATATAACCTGATTATAAATAGCACAGCCTACTTTAGCAAGAGGCTGCACGTTGCCACATTGGTAATTTAATGCTTCTATTTTTCAATGAACTGACCCAGTAACCCCAATAAACAGCTCCACTAACCCACTGTGTTGTTACTGAGACGTTCGTGGTGTCACAGCCTCAACGAGCAGAAACAAACTCTCTCACCTCCTCGTGGTTTGTGTGTTTTACCTCCACCGCAAGGAGGTTCAGGTTTTTATCTGCAGTCGTTTGTTACTGTACTTAAGTACATTATTTATGTATATATACTTTATACTTTCAACGAGAGCAAATCACCGACTGATGAAGAAACACCTGAAATGGATTCAGACAAGACTCAGCCTTAATGAAGTATTAGACCATGACATTAGGGAATAGGCTACACCCTGCAAGTACTTTTAATACTTTAAGTATATGTTAAATCAAATACTTGCTGCACTCAAGTAAAAAAGTAAATGTACTTTTACTTGAGTTAATGTTTTAGTACCTCCTCTCTGGTTTCCTATATGTTCACCTTATGTCGATCGTGGTGGCAGCTGATCGTGGACTATTGAGGTTTCTACATTTTCCTCCCTGTTAATAGTTTTTTTTTTTTAGATGGATTAATTGATTGATGGATTGACGGTGTGATCCCTTCACCCACCTCGCTGCTGTCAACTCCTGGCTCACTTTGCACAGCAGAGGGCGCTCTGAGCCCGCCCAATCCCTCCCCTTCCCTCCCTCCACACTCCAGCAGAGACACCTCCATCCAAACTGCGGTGCCCATCTGATTCCTTGATTCCTTTAATTGCTTCCTTCCTGTAGTTAATTGATGCTAATCTGTCCCTGCCTCTAAAACCACCGGGCTACGTTACACACACGGTTCGACTTGTTTCTAAAGTGTGCATCTTAAACTTGCACCTTTGTTACGCACAAACATCAGTGTGTGAGTGTGTGAGTGAGTGTGTGTGTGTGTGTGTGTGTGTGTGTGTGTGTGTCTTTGTGTAAGTGCGGCATTGGTTTTGTGCAGAAATCACCTGTTTGTGCGCAGTCTGAGATGTCAGAGTCTGCAGAGAGCTCGAGGTAAGCTGCTGCACCTGTGCGCCTTTTTTCCCATTTATCCAGAAATTGCTGCAAACCTGGCAACATACGGAACTTGGAGCATTTCTGCAGACACGTGCACATAAAAAGCAATTTTACATTTAAAAACAATGTAAATTAGTCATTTAATTTAACATATGTTAGATGACAGATCTGATTTATAGATGAATACAGCCGAGAGTATGATATTGATATATTTGGGTGATTTGGTAATAATATAAACTAGTAAAATAAGTCAACCTAATTATCTGTCACTACTACTTACGTTAGTGTTTTTCACACGTCTCCAGTCAATGGCAGCTCTTTACTCTACTATGACCCCTCCCCACTTGAGCCGAAATAGACCCGGAGCAAAGCGGGGGAAACAACACCAGCTGGTGCGTGAATATCAAAATAAATGCGTGAGTTTGAACGCGCACTGATTGTTGTGGTGGACGAGGGTTGATTTTGGAGGCAAAGGCGCGGCGGCGGGGGGGTTTAGGGCGTGTTGCAAGGGTTTCGCGGGAATAACGCGGAGGGATAAGGCGGAAGCGTGCATGCGTGCTTCGGTGCTATTTATTTGCAGCCAGTGCAGCTCAGCTGTGATTCTCACGCTGCCAGTGACAGTGTACGCGTCGCTCCCATTGGGTCGCTGCTGCAGCCAAACGTACACACTCTCCACCTCCATGTGCGCTCCAGTCCCGCAGCACTGACACCGAACCGCGACGCCCCCGCCGAAGGATTTAATGGTTGTGTCGCACTGGAATAAAACTCCTGCTCGTTTTTGTGCGTTTTGGCTCCGATTCCCAGCGTCTGGTTTGGCCGAGAAGCTGAAATCTGAAAGGTAAGAGGAGGGAGCGGGTTTTGTGGCGCTTGCACAGACATCTTCTACTCGCACTTAGATAGAAATGTGTGTTTGCTGTCAGCAGCAGCGCAGAGAGAACTAGGGTTCCTCTCTTTGCAGGTAATTTACGCTCGGGTTCGCAAGTACGCGCCTGCTGTTTTGGCGCTGGTGCAGGCGGACGCACAGGCTGGATGTTTTGGAGTGACCATGTGATGTTGCTTACACTTAGCGCTGAGTTCAGGATCAATGCCAGGCAGCTGTTTGAAGCTCCACATCTGTATAAACAAACACTAACCACTCTTTTTCATTTTATTTTTTAGAAGCTTCACAACAAGGACGCACAGCCCGGACGCATCATGCCGCTGAATTCAAGTTTAGCGAGTAAAAACTATGACTTGGACTACGACTCCCTGCAGCCGTATTTCTACTATGACAACGAGGAGGCTTTCTACCCGCAGCAGCTTCAGCCTCCGGCACCGAGCGAAGACATCTGGAAGAAATTTGAACTGCTGCCGACCCCTCCCCTGTCCCCGAGCCGCCGACCGTCCCTGTCCAGTCTCTTCCCCTCCACGGCGGATCAGCTGGAGATGGTGACCGAGTTTCTGGGCGACGACGCGGTGAACCAGAGCATCATCTGCGACGCCGACTACTCGCAGACCTTCCTCAAGTCTATCATCATCCAGGACTGCATGTGGAGCGGCTTCTCCGCCGCGGCCAAGCTGGAGAAGGTGGTCTCCGAGCGGCTCGCCTCCCTGCACGCCGCGCGGAAGGAGTCGGCGGCGGGTGATGGCGCGGAGCCCGCTAGCGGTGCAGCCGCAGCGTGGAGGCTGAACAGCAGCTATCTGCAGGACCTGAACACGGCCGCCACGGAGTGCATCGATCCATCCGTGGTTTTCCCGTATCCGATAGCAGAGACGCCCAAGCAGAGTGCAGGGACGCCGCCTAGTAAGGACCTGGGGCTGGACACGCCGCCCAACAGCGGCAGCAGCAGCAGCAGCAGTTGCAGTGACTCAGGTGGGTGATGAATGTCTTGTCGTGCAGTCACACCCCTCTGTGCTGTTTCCCTCTGAGCGTGCAGGAGCTGTGCATCATCACACATCTCCATCGCAACCACTGATGATGATAAGAAGAGAGTCATTATTGTTGTGATGCATGTGATTTGCAGACAGGAGGTAGAGCCATGCTGCCCTGTCATGTTGTAGACAGCTGTAAGATTAGCAGGCTGCATGTTAAGCAGTCCACTCATGTGCAGGGGGGGTGCATTGCAGGGATTGTAATCCCCTTCCCCTCCCTTACTGCTGTGACGTGCATTTAAATCAGGGTTGCTGATGCTGGAGCAGAGTGTGACTGTTTTTTTTGCATTTTTGTTTTGCAGAGGATGAGGATGGAGACGAGGATGATGAGGAGGAGGAGGAGGAGGAGGACCAGGAGGAAGAGGAGGAGATCGACGTGGTAACGGTGGAGAAGAGGCAGGCGGTGAAACGGTGTGACCCCAGCCCGCTGGAGACCAGGCACCCCAGCCCCCTTGTGCTGAAGAGGTGCCACGTCTCCACCCACCAGCATAATTACGCCGCCCATCCATCCATGAGGCACGAGCAGCCGGCTGTCAAGAAGCTGAAGCTGGAGAGCAGCAGCAGCAGCAGCAGTGGTGGAGGAGGAGGAGTTGGAGGCAGCGGCAGCCACAGCAGGGTCCTCAAACAGATCAGCAGCAACCGCAAGTGTCTGAGCCCCCGTACATCAGACACCGAGGACTATGACAAGAGAAGGACTCATAACGTACTGGAGCGCCAGAGGAGGAATGAGCTCAAGTTGAGCTTTTTTGCGCTGAGGGACGAGATCCCAGAGGTGGCCAACAACGAAAAGGCGGCGAAAGTGGTGATCCTGAAGAAGGCGACAGAGTGTATTTACAGCATGCAGTCAGATGAACAGAGACTCCTCACACTCAAAGAGCAGCTGCGAAGGAAAAGTGAACTTTTAAAGCAGAAACTGGCACAGCTGCAGGGCTCCCGTGCTTGAAGTTTAAATCAAGACTTTTTGGCCTTTTGTTTTTTATGCAAGTTCAAGACTTGGGGTGTACAGTTCTTGTTGCATGCAAATGCAAAACGGATTAAGTTGTTTGAAATCTCGTTTGATTTCAAAGTTAAAACTGCCTCAATAGAAGTTATGGGTGGATTAAATATTTAAAAGTTTATTTTTATTAATAAAATATTAAAAATTGGGCCGTCCCGTTGGGGGTCCAAACTAAAATATAAATTTTTATGTTTTGTATATAATTAATATTTCCTAAGAAAATGTATTTTTGGATCTCAATTGTCTGGATGTTCAGACCCAGTGTTTGGTTTTTTCCATTATGTTCATAGATTCTTTTTGAAATATAAAAAATGTTTCCTCTTGAATCTGTCTCCTTGTTCTTGCAGTGAAAACACAAACACACAAACATATTCCATGACAGCTTCTACTATCAGTAGATGTACATTAGTAGAGGCTACAGGCACATGTTGGAGGTGTAGTGTGGGTACAACAGAGAGAGATGAGACAAACCACAAGCAAAATAAAAGCATAATTTGTGTGATGTCCAATTCTGATTAACAGGCTGTGATGATGCTCATGAAGACGACCATCTCCCACTGACTCTGGTATAAAATGAAGTGCTTCAGGGGTCAAATCCATATCATCACCTGAAGATGCAGTTTTGATGCTGTCCCGGTGCAGAGTCTTAAAGACAATGATGTAATTTACATAAACTGCCACCATACCTCTTTTTAGAAGAGCCTGTTAATAAAGGCATCACATAAACCTTCCCTTTGTTGTCTGGTTAATAGGGATTATTCAGATTTACTATGATTTTACCAGTAACAGTTGAGAGCTACAGGTCACTGGACTAAAGTAGCTTCTATGGTGAAACATACTCGGCCAAAATAAGGGATAACAGATCTGTCAAATAACTTAAAGTCAAGTGTCAGAGTTATGAGAACACAGATTTATTGTCTGAAAGGTAAACCAGTTAGTTTATAGTTGCAGTCTTAAGTGCAGCATCATGATAAAACTCAAATAATACAGGATATTAAAAAAATAAACCAGGTCAAGTTGATGTTTTTTAAAGATACAAATCAACCTTCCTCCTCAAACATACCTGCTGCTTCTGATTCTGATCAATACTCACCTAATGTTATGTTTTTAAAATGAGATACAACATAAATGTGGTTGTATTAAAGTTAAATTCATTAGTGCAGCATCATAATACAACTGAATGATACTAAAAAAACCAGGTGAAGTTTATATTCTTAGTAAACCTTGTTTAAACATACCTGACCATCTGAGCTGTTTCTCATTCTGATATATAATCACTTCATTCCACATCTCAGATGTGATGTATGAAACTAAAACAGGTTAGTTCACAGTTGCATTTATCAGTGCAGCATCTTCATACAACTCAAATACTGTAAGATATAAAATATAAATACCAGGCTGAACTTACGTTACCTGCTGCTTGGATATTGATCAATAATCCCTTCATGGCACATCTCACATGAGATTTAACACAAATGTGGTGCAGCAAAGTCAAACAGGTTGGTTTTCACTTACATTTATCGGTGCAACATTATGTTAAAACTCAAATATCACATGAAATCAATCATATATACCAAGTATTATTCTTAATATACTTCTGATTCTGATCGATAATCACTTTAGGTCATGTCTCATGCAAAAGATTCAACTATAACTAAAGATTAAACTAATATTTCGTGGTGTTCAAGTATTTACATAGTTAAAAATGGGCGTTTAAGACTAGAACTGCTTCGTATAAGTTCAAATGTTACACATAAAACATGTTCAATTATTATTATTACCCGAAAATAATCGATAATAAAAAACAAAACTTATTTAAAATAAAGTAAACCTCTCGGCTGAGCTCATGTGGAATCAAGTATTTATCGTATATATATTATCTTAATAGTTTTTGTTCGTGTTTTTTTTTTTTTCTAACCGGCTTTCCAGTCTCCCAGTGACGTCACACGCCATATCCCGAGCGCTCCCATGAGCGCGTGGTCCCGGTCGCGAGCACATGGACCGAGGTGGAGGTCTGTGCGCGAGAGACGCGACTGATCATCAGGGAGACACAGTGGAATATAAAAGCGAAGAAAAGCCGCAGGAGGAGGACGGTAAGAAATCTGCTCGTCTTTTCTATCGATCACATTCTGCGTGTTGTTAAAGTGTTTGATCAGAGCCGCACTCAGGCCTGATGATATCAGGGAGTGAATCTGTCTATCCTCCATTCTGACGCACGAAAACTTGATTTGATGGAAGAAGAGTGAGTGTGGGAATGAGAGCGAGTTTAACAGCGTTGAATTTGATGTAAAAAAAAAAATGTATCTGGTGACACAACTATTGTTCTCATGCAGGACAAGTGTTGTTTTCGTCTGGCTTCTCCATTGTCTCCCCAACTCCTGCTGTTATTACGCGCAAAAGCATATTCTCTTGTCATCTTTACGCATCACACTGACTGATACTTTTTTATAATCTACATTAAAAGCTCATACAGTGCAGCCTTTCATCCTCCATGCACCACAAAGTCTGCTGCTCCATGCTTTGTTCTATCTGTGATGGTGCAGTTATCCTGGGTCATTACAGGAGATAATAAAAGCCATCTGCTGAGTTTATAGGCCGTTTTAT